GCTCCCTCCTTCATTGATGTTTTCAAAATGCATTCTAAAAGGATAAATTATTTGTCTATTAAAAAAATGAAGGCACAAAAGCACTAAAAGAAAGCATGATCATGTGCTCATAAACTTGGGATGGGGAAGGCTTGTCTTCGCATCACAGCAGGATAGAAAATATAAAAGACTGACTTCTTAAAATTAAGACATATCCTATATAATAAAGCCTAATATGCAAACTGACCAAATGGTGGAGTGACCAGTTGCTATGACGTGCACTGACCACCAGGGGGCAGACGCTCAATGCAGGAGCTGCCCACAGGCCTCAGGCAGCCAAGGTGGGTGCCAGCGGGGGGGCCCCTGATTGTCCCGCAGAGGGAGGCTACCGGTGGCAGAGGCAGGACTGGCTAGCAGGTGGTGTTAGGCTGGCCAAGGCGGGTGCCAGCGGGGGCCCCCCAATTGTCCCTCCAGTCACCCCACAGATTGGCCCTGATCACCAGCCAGGCCTAGTGGCCCTACCCGTGCATGAATTTCATGCACCGGGCCTCTAGTATATATATATATAAATGTATAAGTACATACATCTATCTATGTTTATGTGTATAGAGAAAGCTGGGGAGAGCACGTATGCAAAATGATGAGTAGTCAATTGGGAAAAATATTTGTAAAATGTATCAAAGGAACCTATTCCACAGATATCTTATAAATTGATGTAAAAAGAATTTGTTAATAATACAAACAACTCCCCAAAAATAAAGTGCTAGTGGAAGTGAGTGGGCAGGGCAAGTGTGCTCCTCAGGGCAGGGAGTGCACCCGGGCCTGGCTGCTCAGGTACCTGCCCTGGGGCCCACCCCATCTCCATCCAGCCCATAGCCTCCAGACCCAAAGGTCAGCCCTGGTGGCTCATCCTAGCAAGCAGTCACCACTGAGAGGAGGCAGCATAAGGAATTCATCTTATTACCAGTGGCATTTAAATGTTAATGGAATTTGAAAAATTGTAACCGCAGTGCTGATTCATGGATTGTCAAAGAAAGCAGAAAACATAGGATTTACACACGGGGCAGGTTTGGGTAGATTTGAAGACTGATACTAAAACAGGAGCTGGAAATAAAATGGTGGACAAAACAGTTGGTTCCTGCCCTCACAGAACTGAAACTTTAGTGAGGAAGATAAAACCAAGCCAGTAACAAAACCTGTTTGAAATATGGTGGTTTCAGCAAGGCCTCAGTTTCCTTCTTTCAGCCCTTATAATTTGGGTGGCAGCTGCTTTCTCCAGCGTCAACTCTCCGCCATGTTGACCTGCTTTGTCTTATATCAGGTACATCAGCTCCAGAAAAGTGCTTGTTTGGGGAAATGTTAAATTTCGCTGCAGTTTTATGCCTTGCTACCATTTATGTTCGTTATAAGCAAGTTCATGCTCTGAATCCTGAAGGAAAATGTATCATCAGATTAAACGAGGCTGGCTTTGTATTTGGATTGCTGAATTGTTTAGGACTTTCTGTTGTGGCAACCTTCCAGAAACCACCTTTTTTATTGCACATGTATGTGGAGCTGTGCTCACCTTTTGTATGAGCTCATTGTGTATGTTTGTTCAGACCATCCTTTCCTACCAAATGCAGCCCAAAGTTCATGCCAAACAAATCTTCTGGCTCAGTCTAGGTGGTTATCTGGTGTGGAGTAAGTGCATGTAGCATGCTGATTTGCTCATCACTTTTGTAGTGGGAGCTTTGGCACAGATGTAGTACAAACATTCCACTGGAACAAAGGTTATGTGCTTCATATGATCACTACTGCAGCAGAATGGTCTATGTCATGTTCCTTCCTTGGTTTTTTCCTGACTTAAATACATGATTTTCAGAAAATTTCTTTAGGGGTAGAAGCTAATTTACATGGATTAACACTCTATGACATTGCTCCTTGTCCCATTAACAATGAACGAATGTGTCTACTTTTCAGAGATTTATGATGAAAGGATAAAATATTCCTCTGATGATTATGATTGGGAAAACATTCATAAGTTACTTCTGCTCTGAAATTTTCCACCAATTAATCAAGGCTGACAGTGACACTGAAGGGTCCTGATAACCAAGAGACACAAATTAAGCCATTTTATAAATTATTTTAAAGGATGTCTTCAAAGCTCTCCCTCCCAGGAGCATGCCCGCGCCTCTGCCTTTTCCTTTCCCCTCTCCCCCCGCATCCCTCCCCAGGCATGTTACCATAGCTTTCTCACTCCAAGCTCCAAGGACCCTTCCTTTACCTCCATAACTTGTTTCCTAAGCCCATTTCTTCTAGGAACTACTTTTTCTACCTCTGTAATTTACCAAATAAACGTTCTCTTACAAAATAAAATAAAATAAAACAAAACCTACATAGAGGTTATCTTCAAGAGGATCATGTAAAAACATTTATGCTTATACTTTTTTTTAGTCCCAGACAATAAACCAAAGAACTATAAAAAAAGAATAAAGAGCCAATAAATAAATGGATAAAAAGCTCAACTTGCTCTAGCCAGTTTAGCTCAGTGGCTAGAGCATCAGCTTGTGGACTGAAGGGTCCTGGGTTTGATTCAGTTCAAGGGCACATGCCTGATTTCTGGCTTAATCCCCAGTAGGGGGCATGCAGGAGACGGCAGCTTCTCTCTCATCACTGATGTTTCTATCTTTCTCTCTCTTTCCATTCCACTCTGAAATCAATAAAAAATAAAAACATTAAAGTTTTTAAAAAAAGCTCAACTTCACAAATAATAAAAAAATATGAATTAAAACCACCTTAGCCCGGTCGGTGTGGCTCAGTGGTTGAGCATTGACCTACGAACTAGGAGGTCAGGGTTTGATTCCTGGTTAGGGCACATACCCAGGTTGCAGGCTCATCCCTAGTGTGGGGCGTGCAGGAGGCAGCCAATCAATGATTCTCTCTCATCATTGATGTTTCTCTCTCACCCTCTCTCTTCCTCTCTGAAATCAATAAAACAACAACAAAAACAAAATCCCCACCTTATGGTATCTTTGGCCTATCAGAGTGGCAAAGCTTGCATGACTGAGTGACCTGATTGTTTAGCATGGTTGAGGGCAAAGAAAAGATACCCTCCTTCATTGTCATGAGTTTATAAATTGGTGGGGTTTTTTTTGAGGACAGTTTGATAATGTTTATTAAATCTTTAAGAAGTAAATATTTTTTCCAAGATTCCACTACTGAAATAGATAAAGGGTTAGGTAGATAAATTATGATACGTACACTGAGTCAACTATTTAAAAGTATGGTAGAATATTAGATTATCAACAGTAGCTATAACTCAGTCAAGGGAGGAAGGTGGTGATGACAGAGTATAATACCGATTTTCACTTTTCTTTCAAAATTTTAAAAAATAATATACACTAACTTGGTAACAAAAAAAAAATTCTTTTCCATGGGAAACTTGAACTTCCAATGAAAACAAGTAGAGAGACCTATGGTTTCGAAAGGAAGCCCAGCCTAAGGTAATGCAGAGGAAAGGTAGTAAATATGTATGTGAATGTGTGTTGGGAGGTGAGCGGAGATGGTGGTGGGCCTTCAAGAGACTCACAAAGCGATCTTTATCTTGGAGAATTCATCAGGGCTGGCCTTTGCCCCTTGTAGGCTGAAAACGCCGATCAGCAAGAGAGGAGGTGAAAGACCCTGTTTGGAGGACTAAGGATGTGGGCGTTGCCTGTTTCCAGCTGTTTGAGTTTTCTTTTCTTGCTTCTTGGCTAACCATCCCTCTCTGTCCTCATAATCTTTCTTCTACTTTGGGAATCACAATTGGATTCTCATTCTGCTTCCTTGGGATTGCCACTAGAAACCATGGGTGTTCTTAAACACTTTAGTCTCAGATTTTCAGATAATATCTTAAGTTATTCCCACAGGTCATGTTCAGGGAGTGTAGTTTATGAGGCTACCATAGTTCCAAAAATAATAAACACAGACATGACTGGTGTACATCATGTCGAGCAAACTAAATGCTGGGTTTCATCTCACTCCCGTACCACATGTACATGTAACCCGTGACACCCCTGCCCTCCCAATTCTGACCTGGGAGTGCCCTTGCCTGTGGGTCTGGAGTGAGGATCTGGGGGCTAGGAAGACTGACAGTCACTCTTTCTTATTGACTTTCTTTTGATCTAAAACAAAACAATTTCTGCCCTAGCTGGTTTGGCTCAGTGGTTACAGCATCAGCCTGATGACTGAAGAGCCTCAGGTTCGATTGTGGACAAGGGCATGTGCTTTGGTTGCAGGCTTGATCCCCGGCCCCAGTCTGGGCGTGTGCGGGAGGCAATCAATTGAAGTGTGTCTCTCACATCAATATTTCTCTGTCTCTTCTTCCCTCTACTCTTTCTAAAAAATCAATGGAAAAAAATATCCTCAGGTGAGGATTGATAAAACAAAACAATTTCTTCCTCTAATTTTTTTGGAAATATTGGCTACGGGTGGTGTGCATTATTGAGGGAAGCAAGTTCCCTTCTGGGTCATGCATTTGGATGGGCAGAGAGTGAGGCAGGAGAGAAGCAAAGGCACGGTCAGATGAAAATTACTGACAAAAACAAGACAAAAGTTGACATTCTCAGGTACAGATTCACTTGGATGGAACTTCTCCAGAGGTGATTGGGATAGATGGGACGAGAGGGAGAAGAAAGAGATGGGAGGTCAGAGAGAAAAGGAAAGGGCATATGGGGAAAGATCGGGGCCATCAGCCTGGCTAAGTAGGTGAGGGGAGCCCAGGTCCTTGCAGTGGGATAAGGGGAACACCTACCTGAGTCCAACATTGTTGACATCATCCCACATGGAGGCAGGGCTTTCCCAGAATGCCTTCTTACGGTTGTCTATGATTGTCTAGAAAGTACAGGGAGAGTGATGAATTGGATGGCCTGAGGCAGGACGGTCTGAGGGGCAGGATCATGGAAGGACAATTAGTGGGGATAAAAACTCAGGGGTCACAGTAGGAGGTCATGAGTGCGGAGTTGGGATCAAAGTTTAAAGAGTACCTGAACCCCAGCATAGGCATTGTTGACCAGCACATCCAAACGTCCGTTCTGTTCTCGATCAACCTTCTCAAATAGGTTTCGCACTTCACTCTCCTGGCCTGAATCACACACCACAGGCACACACTTGCCCCCTCGGGATTGCGCCTGGAGAGAGACAGAGAGGATATGAGCTCACAGTCGCACAGGAGTGTAGACATAATGCAGCTTCCCTCCACTCCCAGCTTGGGAGCTGGAAGGCCATCATAGCAATCAGTCAGCAGCTGAGGGAACATGGTTGGCAATATCGCCCTCTGATGTCTGGGTGAGGAATTTCAGGAGTGCTAGGTCCTCCTTTTTTAGAGCAAGGTGGATTGGAATCTCAGCTTTAAAAATACTAGGATGCAAACATTTACTGAGGCCTTGTATGCGCAAGGCATTGTACTCTGCATGTGGAGGGTATGAGACAAACAAGACACGGTGGCTGCTCTTAAGAAATGAGTATCCATCTTTTTCCTTGCCCTTGGCTACTTCCATCTCACATGCCCTTAGTAACTAATTCCAAAGTCCCTAAAGCTTTCAAACAGAACTCCCCCCCTCCCCCACTCATGTGGAACCCCTACTCAACCCCAGTCCTCTTACCCTCGCTCCACCTGTGCTCCTTCCTGGTAACAAGGAAATAAAAGCTGTCAGGCATGAACTATTTCTACTTCCCGTTCCATCTCAGCGTCTACAAATGTGCCCCATCCTCTAACTTGAGAGGAAGAAGAGTTCCTTATTCAGGAACAGGCCTCCTATTCTCCAAGTCCAACCCTCTTGCCTACTTGCCTACTAAGTGCTCACTGTTCCTGTCTTTCTGCCTTAAATTAATTCTTCGTACCCCAGCCAGACAGTATGAACTATTTAAAACACAAATCTGTTTTAAATCCTCCAATGGGATCACCATCTCTTAGACTACAGTGGTTCTCAACCTTCTGGCCCTTTAAATACAGTTCCTCATGTTGTGACCCAACCATAAAATTATTTTCGTTGCTACTTCATAACTGTAATGTTGCCACTGTTATGAATCGTAATGTAAATATCTGATGTGCAGGATGGTCTTAGGCGACCCCTGTGAAAGGGTCGTTCGACCGCCAAAGGGGTCGCAACCCACAGGTTGAGAACTGCTGTCTTAGAGAATAAAGCCAGAGTTATCTACCAGGGTCTCCCAAGGCCCATTCTGTTTCCTTTCCAGCCTCTCACCTCCGCCCCTGCTTTGCACCTGTATGTTTTGCAATTCTTTCTCACAGTGTCCACACTCCTTCACCACCGTCCCTCTGTTTGCAAAAGCCCCTTTGCCAGTGTGTCTTAGCTTCTTTGACCCAATTCTTACCTTTCATCACTCCATTCAAGAACCACTTCCTCCAGAACGCTTTCCCTAACTACTCTCTGGTGTCATCTCAAAACCCACCCCTCAATCCCAGAGCATGCTGTGCCCACACATTCACCTCTTATCACTTACCATCTCCACATTACATTGCCATGAACTGTTTCTACCGCTGGCTAGACCTAGCTTTTAAGAGCAGAAGTTATATCTTATTAATCTTGGTAACCCCAGTGCTTCACCCTGTGCCTAGCAAATCAAGTGTACCCAAGTATTTAACTGAAAACCAGTAGAAAAGTCAAGTGAAAATGTACAGTTCAATAAAGTCTTGCCTAAAAGGAAGGAAAGCACAGGTCTACAAATCTTTAGTTCCAATTCCAAAGTCCCTAAAGCTTTCAAACAGAACTTTTTTTTTTTTTCATAAAACTCACTTGGTGGTAACTGTGACCTGATCTGAAGTTTTGTGGGGTTCATTTATCCCACTTTGAGAAAATGTTCACGTTTTATCGAGGAATATTATGGGTTTTGGTAAGGGGTTGGGAGGAGTGGTTAACAGGAAGGGATCCCTTAGGTGGCTTCTCACCTCCTCAGCAGCAGCCCGCAGTGTGTCCAGATGCCGGCCAGTGATGTACACGGTGGCACCTGCTTGGCAGAGCTGCAAGGCGATGCCGCGACCGATTCCCCGGGAAGCACCAGTCACCACGCACACTTGGCCCTTCATGGCAGCTGCCATGCTTACTCACAAGCAAAGGGGTAAAAATCTGTGGAAGCAAAGATTTGCTCTGAGGGAAGCCTGCAGATGGCTGAGGGGGACCCCGGAGGGTGGTAGGAGGAGGAGCCATGGTTGCGATGCTGCAGAGGGAGACACCTGGGTGCAGGCCCAGGGCCAGGCAGCTGTCCGTTTGGGGACGCCCGAGTGAAGAAAGGGGCGGGTGGGGCTGTTCAGGGCAGGGCACCTACTGGGACTCGGAGTGAGGCTGG